TTTTTTTTTTTTTTAAATTTTTTATTTTTTTTTAAATTTTATTTTGAGGTGGGGGGTGTATAATTTAAAAAAGGTGTGTGGTGTATAAGGATAAGGGGGTGGGTATTTTTTTATATGGGTTTTTTTTTATATTTTTTTTTTTTTAAAGGGGGGTTTTTTTTTTTTTTTTGGGGTTTTTATTTTTTTTGGAAAATTTTTTTTTTTTGTGGGGGAAAAATTTTTTTTGGGGAATTTTTTTTTTGGGGGTTTTTGGTTTTATTTTTTTTTTTTTTTTGTGTTTTTTTGTTTTTTTTTTTTTTTTTTGGAGGGGGGGGAAGCGGGGGGGGGTTGGGGGGGGGGGGGGAGCGCTCTAAAAACGGCAACAAAGGGAAACCTGGTCCTACAATAACATATTGCCATGTGCCACCAGTTTTTATTCTTACAACGATGGTGAAACAGGGGTGCTCGAAAAAATCGCAACTACACCCCCCCGTAGTCTGAAGCGATGCCGGACTGTCCCGGCGTGGCCGCCTTCGCTTCCGTCTGCCCGACCAGCGCCTCCAAGCCCTTAAACTCCCTCTTCCCCAAGAAGTCCGCCGCGGGGCTACTCCACTCCACCAGGGACCGGTCTCCCACCCCGACGAGCGCTCCTGCGGAGCCCCCTGTACCGGTGTGGTGCCCCTCCGCCTTCTTCCTGGAAACCCCGGGCTTGTTCTGGTACGTGCCCGTCACCAGGGAAAAGAAGGGTTCATCTCCTTCGTCGTCGTCCGCACTTTGGGCCGCGCGCGTGGGGGAGGAGTCCCCGATGGCGAGGGACTCGATCCCGTCGCTTGCGACGGTGGGGTTGAGACTCGCGGCTCCGCTGCGTTCGGAGGCAGGCGGTTCCAGTTCCAGGAGGTCGTCGAAGTCCGTGCTGTAGAAGCCGTCCCACTCGCGCTTCCGAAGGGCCACTTCCAGCTCCAGAGGGGTCACCTGTGTATGATATACAAAGGGGCCGTTCAGGTGAAAACATGAAGCAAACCCCCAGCATGCCGCAAGCTAACGTTACAGAACGAAAACAAATGCCGGAGGTGCTTGCCCGCGGAACATGCGCGGACTTTAGTCAGTCGCGTGCCCCCCAAGCGCACCCGGTATGAAACTGCTATGGCACAGCTTTCGTCTTTTCCTTGCACGTGGCGACACCAGCACCTTCGTCAACGCCCAGCCGAAGCACGTAAGGATGCAATGGAGGCTTGTAGGTCATGGAGCCAAAACCAACGCCAATGACAAGCAAACACCGTGGACAACGCACGCTTCGATTCAACAACCACAGCAAGAGATATTTACTTTCCGAAACGATGGCGTTTTCGAGCACCTATCCGTAACATATTTCCTAAATAATAGGTACTCCATCTTCTAATACATAGGAGGCTTTCCGGGAAACGCAACACAAAAAGCAACAAGCCCGAAACGCCGACTCACCACCGGGGCATGGAACTCCCTCGAGTCTAGCAACGAGTTCTCCGCGCAGGCCACGAGGCAAAACACATCCACCTTCACGAAGTGATGTGCGAGGAAGGCACGTGCAAGGCCGAGCGGGGCGCGAGGTACGTTGTCATGATTGTGCGAGAAACGGAGAAGTAGGGCGAGTGTCTCGTAAACTGGGGCGACGAGGGATAGAACTCCACCCGTGACGGCGCCCTTATATTCACAATATATGCAAGAATTCGGCCGCAAGTATAACGAAACGCAGAACGTGAGCAAGCAAACCGCAGTGCAACCACAATGACAAACAGCAGTGACGGTGGCAACGACGACGACGACAACAACAACAACTACACAAAAATAACGAAGACGGTGACGACAACAGCAGCGATAACGACGGTGACAATGGCCACGATGACAACGACAACGACAACGACGGAATGACTGACGACAACGGCAGCCATCATGACGGCGGTAACAACAACGACAACAACGGCAACGACGTCGAAAACGACAACAGCAACAGCAGGCGGACCTCGGCGAAATTGGCGAGCTTCGCGACGTTGACCTTCCCCACGGCAAGGGTGTACGCCTTGCGGCCGGCGTCCTCAATCATCTTTCGGACCGAGCGCACCACGCTGCCGTACCGCTGGACACCGAGGGTCCCCACGACGATTCCTATGACACCAGCCTCTCGCGCGCGTTGAACAAGGTAGTATCTGCCGAAACAACAAACGTAGAACAAACACCAAACAAAACAGATCAGGTGAGGCCCTTGAAGTAGGGGAGTGCAACTACCTCTCGTACAACAGCAAACAAAAACAGCGACAATGAGGACACAGCAGTGATGCATTGCATCTTGTCGCCAATACACATGAACGCAGATGACTGCACTTCCACCGCAATGTCTTGGTGTTTGCTCTATTATAGCAGCCTGGAGGATTGTGTTCTGTGAGGGATGTGCGCCGCGTACATTCGTCCAGACTCTCAACTCGGACACGAAAAACACGTCAAGAAAGAAATCTGAATCGCATATGTCGCCACGTGCACACTGTATTCGTGAGGTACCACGCGTGCGAATTAATTCGTGCGCTCCAATAAGCAACAAAAACGATCGCACACAGCAGTAAGGTCATTCTGCAAGTCGACACATCGAACCACACGGCGGATCGGCAATCACCTCGACCATCTGCAGACCTACACCGCACGTCAACCATCCGTCATCGGACCTGTAACGTGTACTGCGAAGCCCGACACCCGAGGCGGTCTACACCAGCGACTACGACACGGGTCCGTGCATGAAGCGCCAAGGATTCATTTTCGTAAACCAGGCCCGACGTCTTCAAGCGCCGGCTGGTGCAACTTTACACGCGGGTTTCCCACGCTGCACTGCGCGCAGCGCGGGCGTTGTGGCAGCCGTTGCGGCAGCCCTGCCTCCCCGCCATGAGGTTCTCTCGGACAAATATCAGAGCCTCCTTTCGGACCTCCACGTACCCCACTATTCTTCCAGTTATTGTCTATCTGACTCCACCCAACTCTCACCTTGCATGAGACTGCTGGGACCGCCGCCTACCTACCTCACTATTCTTCAAGCTTTCTAATCCTTCCCCAGTCCTTACCTTCGCATGAGATCCTTGTTGCCCTTACGGGTGTCCCCGATCACCCTCTCCCCGGGCGGGAGGCAGGGGTCGTACCGCATCCGATCAACGCAGCCGGCGCACCGCATGAGAACGTTGCTGAGCTGCCTCCCCTCCCCTCCGACAAACACGAGCTTGTGCCGCCTGAGCTCTTCTTCGGACTCCAGGTCGACCCCCAACCCCCCGATACGCACACGCCTCTTCCGCTGACACGACGACAACGGTGCCGGCGTCCCCGCTGTCGACAACGCCGCCCCCCCCTCGCCTGGTGCTGCACCCGCGGACTGACCTGGCGTGCGCGTATCTGTTTCAGGAGTAGAAGGTGTCCCTTGTCCTGGGTTTCCAAGTCCTCCGGAGGTGGTGCTGCTGCTTGCGCTTGGTGGGGACGAGACAGCGCCCGCAGGGCGGGGTGTGGAGCTAGCGTCCGATTCTACGGTAGAAGATCCGCTTGGTTCTCTTGGGCCAGCACCACCCTGCCCACCCAAGGCTCCTTCTCGCGAGGGGTGTCCCGTCCCCCGACCACCCGTACCGCAGCCGGCATTTTCGCCGCCCGAACGACGGCAACACTCCCCCGTTGTCTCCTTCTCTGCGCTACGGCTGTCGCCGGTGCAAGGAGGACCCCTGTCGCTTCGCCCGCATCCGTCGGAGCCCCCTCCCTCCCCTTTCGTTGATGTTGCGCCGCACCCGTAGCCGGCGGCGGCCGGCTTTGCACAACCCCCCGTCATCGGCGAGTACGCCTCTGATGTAGGAAACCCTACCACGAGCCTCCCCCGCTTGCTGCCGCCGGCGGCGTCCAATCTCTCGAGGAGCGCGGGGATTGCGTAGGCGTAGGTCACGTCGTACAGCAGGAGGACGGGAGGCGGCATGCCACCGGTACCGCTGCCGCCGCCTTCTGCTCCTGCTGTGGATGGCGATGACGGCGAGTCGTCGTCGCCGCCCTGCCGCCCGGAGCTGGTGCCGCTCGAGCCGGGGGTGGCGGCGGCGGTGGCGGACAGCGGGCCCGAGAGCAGCGTGGACGCCAGGTGCTGCACGTCGAGGTCCCCGCGGCCGAAGACGTAGAGGACGGGCACCGAAGAGTTCGTCGGGCTGAGGCACGCCCGGCCTAACGTGGTTACGGTCGAGGTCAGGATTCCCAGAAAGGTGTCAAGAAGCGAAGTGGGGAGGCGAACGCGCCGGAGGGAAGGAGGGGGTCTTAAAAATCAGGATGTTGGACTGAGGCAAGCGCGTGCCCTAGGCCACTGTTGTAGTTCTCAGAAACGGCGAAGCCGGGGCGGGGGCAAGATGGCAGAGGACGGTGGCGGTTGTGGTGGCCTACATACTGAATCATGTGACCAAGCACCCATCACCCTGGCCGCTGTTCCACGCGCGCATCGTGCGATAAAAGACACTACCAACAATGCGGCGTTCTCCTGCGCGTTTCCGCCATGTTCGACTCGAGAAGTTACTGCCACACTGTCATCACGAACGGCTCGCGCATCGAGGGCAGTCTAGGAGGGGCTCCGGGATACAGTCGAAGAGCGGACGTTACAGGAGTATGCCCGCCGCATCGACGCAGTTCCATGCCAGCCAACCCTCGCTCACCAACACCTGGGGGCGCATGGGCCAAGGCAAAGGTGTGCTTGCGTCCCCCAACCGACGGGAATTCCACGCTAGTCACCCATCCTCCTTGCTCATTCAATGCCTATGAGCGCATGGGGGGCAAAGGTACACAGGCGCCCGTGCGTTCACCAACTTCGGACGCCGCAGTTCATCAATTTCTCACCGTAGTGAACGATGGCGTCCGCCTTGAGGTGCTGCGCAGACACCTCGTCCACGCAGCAGCTGCCGTACGAGGTGTCCCCTGTCACGAAAATCAGAGGTGGCGCTGTCGTCGCCACCTCCGATGGCCCCTTCCCTTCTCCCTCCTCTTCGCGGCCCACCTGCGACACAGAACGCACACCTCCCGCTGCCAGCTTGCGCAGCCGCGCCTGGAGCGTCCACAGCACTTCCGGTGCTTCTCGTAGCAGCACGTCGGGGAACTGCAACGCTACCCTACGGAAGTTGCCGTCCGCGATGAACGCCGTGGTCCTAGGGATCTGAAAGAGACGGAGGGGATCGTGCCGTTGAGGTGGGAGGAATGAGTGAGGTTTCGGTCGTGACCTTTTCGTTCATTGTGTTGTGTGTGTGTGTGTTTTGTCCTATTTGTCATGGGTGGGTGCTGTGTCCACACGTGCGATAAGGCCAATTTTCACGTGCTAGGGAGCACGTCCATAAGTACTGGGTTCGAATACGTTTGAGGCCCGCTGAGCATGGCTTGTGCGTGCCAAAATCAAATTGTTTCTGAGCAGAGAGGTCAGCCATGACGGGTTGAAATATTTAGAGTATTCCCGACGTACAGTAGTGGTCGTCGTCCAGCCAAATCAAGCGTACACACAAAGTTATGTGCACCAAACCTCCTAGAGGGGCATGGGTTTTACCGGTCTTCCCTGCCAACAAGTAGCAGTGCGGCGGAAAGCCGTCCAATTGTGCCGCATCATGATTGGACCCTCGGCCTCTGACTGACTCATGGATGTACCGACATACACCACTGCATTAATGGGTGCACACATCCAAAAACGCGTGCTCACAGTTCGCAATCATGTGAAGAGGGAAATGGGTGTCTTGTGTTTGAATCGCAATCGCTTGCAGGGAGTCAATCTTTTGAATCGCTCTGGTCTACCGGCCGTATGCATACCTCGTAGAAGTCATCGATGGAGCAGGAGGCCGGTCGCTTGCCCGCAGAAAGCACCCCACCTCCGGCCATCCTCGGGTCCACCACTTCAGCGGCATCCTCGAGAGTCTGCGAAATGACCCTGCTGCCGTCGTCGAACTCGATTTTGACGCTTGCCGCCATGGTTCCCGTGAGCTGGGTAGACGCAGCAGCAGCGCCGTGCTCCGCTCGACCGCAGCTTACCCACTTGCTGTCCGAACAATGTGTAGCCTATCGCCCTGGTAGCTGCGCTGCGCACAATAAGCCTGATGTCACGCTTTGTTTTTTCTCTCTCGTGGCAAGAAGTTGGTATCGCACACCCTCAAAGCCACGCAAGGTACACCACCAACGAGCTTGCAAGGTCAGCAGTGGCCAGCGGCGGCCAGCCAGCGGCGGCCAGGCACACTGCAACGCGGCGTGATTAAAAGAGGTACCGTGCATGATAAATTAGGCGGGTACCTCCAGTAGTATTTGCCATCAGCGATCCCCCTTGTGCTGCTTGCCGCTCCTGCTCAGTCCTCTCCTGCCACGCCTCATCACACGCAGCAAGCGGGAGGGACTAGAGACGCGGCGACGAGGATGGCACCACCCCGTGGCACAAAAAGGAAGCCAGCCGCCGAAGCAGAGGTTTTGGACGTGACGGATTCACCGGTAGGTATCAGCCGTGTTCTCTGGCTGCGAGTCGGACATATCCAGGTCAAAGATCAAATTTTCAAACGCTTGACCGCTAGGGAAAGAGAACAGAGCTATATATGCAGCTGCATAGCGGTCCTGCTCTGTGTCTATGGGAAGGGCCGATCAGGATTCGACCTTGATACTTTGCGCGTGAGAAAAATGATGCTACCGTGCGTGCACTCTATCCAAGTCGACTCAATGGCATGGTGATTTGTTTCGTTCAATACCCCCTCCTACTTGTGTGTGTGTATGCAACACAGCAGTAGCTACCCCGCGGCAGACCGGCAGACCGTGCGGTGGCTGGTTCAAACATGACCGCATCTTATTATTGTAGACAAAGTAGATGGCAGGACGGGGGGCAGGCAGCCCCATCAAACACGAGGGTATAAGGTCGCGAAGAGGTGATTCATATTCTCGAGTTCGCGATTTATTGCTGTGCGGTTGGGGACCGCTGTGAAAAGTCAGCAATGACCCTAAGTTGGATGTCGGATGTCGGATGATTTGAAATTGGTTTCGGCGGGCCGGGCACAGGTTAGCTGCAGTGCCGGAAACCCTGAGTTGGATGTCGGATGTCGGATGATTTGAAATTGGGTTCGGCGGCCGGGCACAGGTTAGCTGCAGTGCCGGAGGCGTGCTTGATCATGTTTCCCCTCGGTCTACTTAGGATTATACGCATACCAGTATACTTCTGTAACACCAACAAGGACTACATGCAGCGGTAGCCATCCCCGTTTGAATGCACTAAGGGCTTTCTGCCTTTTGAAGAGTCTCGATACAAGTAGTTTGGGGACGATAATCACCGTCCCCCAGGTCAAGGAAGCGTAGGAGCAGTAGCAGTAGCTGTATTGCTGCGGTGCTGGTCCGACCCGCAGCAACAGTCGCCCGAAATACCACCGGAAGGACCCAGCATGGCAGGCTTCCTCGGCATGTGACACGTAACTCATGTGGGCATCGCGCCATGTGCGAAACGGGTTTGCGCGGCCCTGGTGTGCGGGCTACGCTTATGTGGCGCCCATCAGATGAGAAACACACGTTTTCGTTTAGGTCCCCGTTACAGGCCGCCTATTTTTGGCCGAATTCCCTGTACAAGGCAAGTGAAATCGCTTGGCACGGATGGAATATTTTTCAAGTCGTCTTACAATCTGACTAGTGCCGGGTGCCCGATGTAAAAGGCCGGGGGTCCTCTGCTGTAGGTGCCCACACTTAAGGGGGGGGGCATTTCCAGATGATAGACGCCACATTTTCGTTTTCACTGTGCAGCAGAGTCTGTTTATTTAAGGCCGGATGGCCTGTTTAAGGCGGGTGAAATCGCTCGGCACAGATGGAATACTCCAGTTGTCTCACGCACTCATGAATAAATAGTGACGGGTACCCGACACAGGGCCAGTGTTTTCCCTTGGGCCATAGCGGCCTTAAACAGGGACATGTGCGGTATGTAAATAGCTGTCCGCATTGAGGTGGGGCCCATTTCCAGCTGAGGAACGAAGCACTGCCGCTTCACTGCCTGTATGTAGCTGTCCGCACCTGCCTCACGCGTGCCACTGCTGTGCCTGCACGAACCTCCTTCTCTCGCAGGCGCCGAAGCGTTCGCAGGGAGGCAGGAAGCGCGGCAGCACTCCGGCAGCAGCAGCAGCAGCAGCGCCGGCATCACCGCCCAATGCATCATCATCTGCACGCAGCGGACACGTCCGTTCCTACCCGTCTCCGGCGGCGAGTAAGGGAGCTGCTTTGGCCAAGGCGGGGGGTTCCCCCGCCCTGTCCGCCGGGGCGTGGAGCGCCAAGGGCGACGGTCTGGACGACTTCGCTTTCGACGTGATGAGCAGCGACTCGGAGGACGCCGTTGGCCCAGAGTCGAAGGGGAAGTCGTCTCCGAGAGGAAAGAAGCCCTCGGGCGCGGCAGGCGGCGGCGGCGGCGGCACTCAGGTGTGTTTGCTGTAGTAGTAGTAGTAGTAGTAGTAGTAGTAGTAGTAGTAGTTGTTGTTGTTGTTGTTGTTGGTGGTGTTGTTGTTGGTGTTGTTGTTGTTGTTGTTGTTGTTGTTGTTGTTGTTGTTGGTGGTGGTGGTTGTTATGGTTGGTTGTGTTGGTGGTTGTTATGGTTGGTGTTGTTCGTGGTTGTTATGGTTGGTGTTGTTGCTGTTGCTGTTGCTGTTGTTGTTGTTGTTGTTGTTGTTGTTGTTGTTGTTGTTGTTGTTGTTGTTGTTGTTGTTGTTGTTGTTGTTGTTGTTGTTGTTGTTGGTTGTTGTTGTTGTTGTTGTTGGTGGTGGTGGTGTTGGTGGTGGTTGTGTTGGTGGTTGTTATGGTTGGTTGTGTTGGTGGTTGTTATGGTTGGTGTTGTTGTTGGTTGTTATGGTTGTTGTTGTTGCTGTTGTTGCTGCTGTTGGTGTTGTTGTTGGTTGTTATGGTTGGTGTTGTTGCTGTTGTTGCTGCTGTTGGTGTTGTTGCTGTTGCTGCTGTCGTTGCTGTTGCTGTTGCTGTTGTTGTTGTTGCTGTTGTTGCTGTTGTTGCTGCTGTTACTGGTAAAGACACTGACGGCACGCCCTCCGCCCGGCAGAAAAAAAAGGCGGTAGCAGCGGCGGCCCCGTCCAGCCGCAAGGGTAAAGCTTCCGCCGCCGGCGGCGTCGGTCCCAAGAACGCCGGCAAGACGCCGGTGAAAAAGAGGGCGGCTGCTGGTGCTGCCGCTGCTCCCACGTCCTCCGTTCCCTCGCCGCCTGCGGCCGACAAACAGCGGAAGGGCGCCGCTGCTGCGAAGGCTAGGCCGCAGGAGGTGGTCGACATCGATAGCGAGGACAACGGTGGCAGTGGGGGTGGTGTTGAAGACGAGGGTGATGGGTCTGAATACGAGGAGAGCCTGGGAAGCGTCGCCAAGAAAAAGAGCGGGGGCGGAAAGGGCAAGAGCCACAGCGACAGCGCGAAAGGCGGCGGCCGCGCGAAAGGCGGCGGCGGCGGCGGCACCAAGGGGAAAGGGACGAAGAAACCCACCGCTGCCGCTGCCGCTGCCGCTGCCGCTGCACCGGCTTCGGGCCGCAAGAAGCGCGCTAGCTCACGCCCCCCGCCTTCGTACGGCGGGGACAGCAGCAGCGGTAGCGACGACGAGGACTTGGGCGGCGACGACGACTCCGAAACAGCAGCAGCAACAACGCCGTCTTCGTCATCGAAACCCAAAAAGAAGTCCCCCGCAGCGGGGGCGGGGGCGGGGGCGGGGGCGGCGGCAGCGGAGGAAGAAAACGGTAAACAGCCGGGGGGGGGGGCACGCGGCAAGGGAAAAGGGAAGGCCAAGGCGACGGGGGGGGGCGTCTTGTCTTCCGCGAAGCCGGCCAAGCTTGCCGACGACGTGGAGGTCGTCCTCCGGAGATTGCGAAAGCTTAGGGGGCAGATGGGGCGTGGCGGGGGGGGCTCCGCCGATGGTGACGCCGACCGAAAGAAGCAGCCTACCCTGCTGGAGCTCGGTCTCAGCGGTGACGTCACGGAGGTGCGGGCCGTTCACAGCAGTAGCCAGCACTGCTTGCGTGAAACCGATGATGATTGTTTTCGCCTGAAGTCAACGTTTTCCCGTCGAGGTCCAACATATTCCAGTGGAGTGGGGAGGGGGGGGCAGTTTTTTCTCTTACCCATGGGTATTTCTCTTCCGGGTGTATCTACTTGTACGGGACTACGTATCTCGGCACCGCGGGTTATGCTCCCCGTGCGCTACGCTTAATTCCTTGGAAGTACCAGTCAAAATTGTGCCCGCAGACGCGGAGCCCCAGCATTTTTTCCTGAAAACCGTCGCTCGGGGTTGCAGGGTATCCATGAATATCTGCAGTTGCGAAATGCAAGCTTTTAAGCTTGTAGGGGCGGGACTACAACGGATGCTGTAGTGGCTGAACTGGTTTCGAGCTCATGGCTAACGGGTTTTTGTCCTGCTGGTTGGATTTCTACTGGAAGAGAGAGGCGTCGTGGTTGGGCTACAAAGGTCTCAGTACGGAGACACGGCAGAAACAACGACAACAACAACAGTAACAACAACAGCAGCAGCAGCAGCAGCAACAACAATATCAACAACAACAACAACAGTCGGATCAACCACGCCCTCACCGATTACCACCTGCCACCGACAACGATAGGTGCGAGAGATGGGTGCCGCGGGCGTGATGGACGAGATCGAGCGCATCGCGGTGGAGACGGCCCTGAGCATCATGGAAGGGAACGGCTTCGGCTTCCGAGTGCCCACGAGAAGCAGCGGGAACCAGAAGTACGTCGAGGAGCTCGACAGGATCGTCCTCGGGGATAAGGTAGGGGATACACACATATTACACGCCCTTTCAGCTCTTAGACCCCGGAGCATTTACGGCGAGAACAGAACAATTAAATACCACAATATTAGACTAGTGGGTGGGTGGGCGTTTTTTGTTTTGGGTATTTTGTAATTTTCAGTTTTGGGGAAGCAATATGGGGCGCGCGCGTTGTCCTTCCCGCGGGTGATATGGATTGCCGCTTTGCTGAGCCTAGCTGCTCTCCGATTGGTTATTTTTCTCTTTTTTGGTAGAGGGAAGCCCGCGTGATCCTACCTGCCGATGATATGGACGGCCGCTTGCTGACTGAGCCTACGGCTGGTCTCCATTGGTATGGCCTCCTAAGGTTCTTTTGTCCTTGGTTGGTGAACCTGTCCACCTGTGTGTGGTGTGCACGATAAGGCGCGAGACGCCCGCCCCGCCCTACCCACCGGTGATACCGATGACTGCTGTTGCTGAGCCTAGATGGTCCTGGGTTTTCTCCTAAGATTTACTCTCGTTTTTTTTTTGCACCCGCCCCGCCGTATCCGCCGATGATAGGGATGGCCGCGTTACGAAGCCTAGCTAGTCTCGATTGATGTTGCTCCAAGGTGCATGTTCCTTTTTTTTGCTTACTTTTCCACCTGTGTGTGGTGTGCATGATCAGGTGCGAGGCGCCCGCCCCGCCCTACTTGCCCATGATACTGATGACCGCTGTTGCTGAGCCTAGATGATCTTCATTGGTTTTGCTCCTGCCGTTCATTCTCGATTTGTTTTGTTGAGTCCACCTGTGTATGGTGTGCATGACAAGGTGCGAGACGCGGTTTTTGAGCCTAAAATTAATAGATGGCCTTGATGGTTTTGATCCGATGTCGTTTTTGTTGTTGTTGGATTTGTTGTCCACCTGATGTGCGTGGTGTGCTTCGTGGTGCCTTGCGCCGTTTGAGGTTCCTGTGGGGAGAGGATTTCGTTTTTTGTCGCTGCTTCTCTCGTAGCTGCTGCTGCTGCTGCTGCTGCTGCTGCTGCTTCTGTCGTTGTTACCGTTGCTGTCATCATCGACGTTGAGGTTTGCTTATGTTGTAGTTGTGACAATTGGTGTTGTTGTCGTTATGGATTGTTGCCTTCTTCTCCCTTCCCTCGTCGTTTTGCTGCCCCCTTGCGTGTGATGTGTCTGGTGGATGACCGACACACAAACAATGCTACAAGCCTCTCCCCTGGGGATAGATGTACTTGTACGGCTTCTCTCTATCCTAGATCGCCTGTCCGCTGTTGTACACTTCTTGTGACCTCCTCGATCGCGGTGAGGTATCGGGCGAGCCGCATGGAGGGTGCCCTGCATCCTGCTAAGGGCATCTATTCCACATCTTACCGGAGGAGTACGTAGGTTTATGCAGAATCGTGTAGTATCTCTTATCTTCGACCGCCTGTGTCCGCTGTTGTTGTGACCTCGTCGATTCGCCATTTGCAAAAATGCCGGCGACTTCTTGTTTTCTTGTGCTTCCGAGGAAGGTCTCGAGCAGGAACTTCGTGTCCACTGCCATGGCGAGGAAAACCGCCATTACCACAAGAGTCGTGCAGCTCGTGCACCAGGTATGTGGTACAGTAGTAGGTGACTTTTCTTCATCTCCTCGCCAGGTTTTAGGTCTGATAATTGCGTCCCAAAACTGAAAAAATATTTCAAAAACAAAAACAAAAACAACGAGACATCTAGCGTGTTGAGTATCTGGACAACGCATGGCAAAAGGGAGCACGTTTCGAACTATTCTTTCCTTTTTGCCGAAAAGCAACAACCCCCAACACCCGCACAAGAAGCGTATGGCGTTGTCTTGACGGCAAAACTAGTAAATGACCTATTTTCTTCTTCCAAAATAGTAGTGACTTATGGCTCGTTGTTGTCGTCTTCACATTCTAATACTTGTGCTCCAGGTACGGTCGTCTATCGGTCAAGCACGCATGGTTTTTCGTTTAGACAGGTGTCGTTAAGCCCGGGGAAGTGTCCTTAAGGTTGATACCCCCTCGTTATGTTGCACATTCTGCGGGGCACCATGCCTGTGAAAAACAAGGTGTCCTTATCCTGGGGAGCGCCCTTAAAATGGTAATGGTGTCCTTTACCGAGGGAGTGTTGACCGCAGACGGTAAACCAGAAAATAACGGTAATTTGACGGTTTACCGGGACCGTCCACCACGGCGATAATTCCTCGTCGGTGAATAAAATTACTTTCATACCAAACCCCTAACTTGTTTGTGGAGTCTTGTAGATATACTTTCTGGAGAGTTTGGTGCCGGCCGGATGTGGAGAGAGAAAGCGGTCAAGTCGTGTCCGTAAAAGAATAACATGACAAGAACCGCACTCTACCGGCGCCCAAAACGAGCACAGGTCCTGGGCAAGGGCATCCACATCACGAAGCGAGACATGTTCTACACGGACGTGAAGCTGTTCAAGGAGCAGTCCGAGAGCGACAACGTTCTCGATGACGTGGCTTGCATGGTCGGCTGCACCCGGTCGTGCCTCAACGTGGTCGCCTCCGACAAGGGGCTCGTCGTGGGACGGGTCACGTTCATGGAAGACGGTGAGACGACTCGACTGACCGACCCGCCTGACGCCGGAGGGGATTCCCTCGGAATCCGGCGTCGTTTTTTCTTCTGCATGTTTTTGGCGGAGTTCTATAGCGCCACCTCTCCCAACCGGCTCCCACGTGACCCCGTGGTACACTGACTGCTTGAATGGTTGCTGATGGCATCGATGAACACGATGCTACGGTCAATTTATGCCGTACATGTAGACCGCAACGAGAGATTGCACACCCACTGCTGTGCAGATTTTTGAAGCTCTCGGTTCTTCCGCAGGCAGAAAGGGTGTTTCAGTTTTTTTTGTTCCTCTTCGTCATGGAGGTTTCAAGCGTTGACAATCAGCCCATTGGTTGCGATATCTTATGCCACCTACGTACCGTATGGGTCAGCACTTTTTCTTACCCACACTACCTGACGTTCAATGTGTGACAACCAGGCGACCTGATCGATTGCACTCGAATGGGTGTCGGCGGGAAGGCTATCCCTCCCTACATCGACAAGATCACCAACATCAGGTATGCGCGATAAGTGATTTCGGCGATGAATGACATCATGGGGGGGTGATCGGCACGGACTCACCGTGTACTAGGCACTGTTCAACGGTGTCGTGTTTGTTGTTGTTTGTAGTATTGTTGTTGTTGTTGTTGTTGTTGTTGTTGTTGTTGTTGTTGTTGTTGTTGTTGTTGTTGTTGTTGTTGTTGTTTGTAGTGTTGTTGTTGTTGTTGTTGGTGGTGGTGGTGACGATGATGCGGATGAAATACCTGGGCTCACGCGGTTCTGGCATGGTCGTGGCTTCTCAAATTGGTTTCACGTCGGTATCGACGCGTGCGTCTTGCCTTTTGGTCGAGAGGAAGGGACCTAGTCGCTTGGTGTACGGTCGAACTTCATGCCTCCATGCCTTCATGATGCTTCTTGATACCACTCTTTTTTTACGTTTCCACGTCCCGGTGTTCTCTGTCTGTCTGTCTGTCTGTCTGTCTGTCTGTCTGTCTGTCTGTCTGTCTGTCTGTCTGTCTGTCTGTCTGTCTCTGTCTGTCTGTCTCTCTCTCTCTGTCTCTCTCTCTCTGTCTGTCTCTCTCTCTCTGTCTGTCTGTCTCTCTCTCTCTCAGGAGCGATGCAGACTTTATCCTCTTAGTGGAGAAGGAGGCCGCCTACATGCGAATGGCGGAGGACAGGTTCTACCAGAAGTACCCGTGCATCGTCATCACGGCCAAGGGCCAGCCGGTGAGAACAATATTCTGGGGGAAGCCGCCGGCGCGTGCACCTTGGGTTCACGCTTACAGGCTCTCTTGTCGATGACCTCCTCACAGAAGGACAAGTGACCCAAGTTCCTTTGTTGTACATACGAAGATTCTCGAGGTTATCGAGTGAGAGACAGGCGGCGAGGCCTGAAGATCCTCCCTCGTCAAGTCTATCATGTTCAAACCACCCGTCAAATCCAAATCACTCGTGGGGCGCACATCACATTTTCCCGCACCGACTTGGCCACTTGAAGCTTTTTATCAGGAAGCTTGGTCTTGAGCGGTATGTCGCTCTTTGGAAATATGTTTCATACGGGAATGCGTTTGTCTCTCTGTCGCGCCCGGTGATTGGTTGCTGCACGCCGACGCTTGCTTGGGTTTTTCTTTTTCCTTCAGGACGTGGCGACCCGTCTGTTCCTGAAGCGGCTGAAGCGAGAGCTGAACATCCCCGTCATGGGTCTCGTCGATAGTGATCCTTACGGCCTCAAGATCCTCTCCGTGTACATGAGCGGTGAGACACAAACATGATGGTTCTAAAAACGACCACGACAAAATCTGTCTCAACAAAAAGCAGTATTTGGTAGCACGTGCATGTCTCTCTCTGGTAGAAAAAGGCGTCTGAAGATCATCGTTGCTATATTGTCATCCCCTCGTTCAGCAGTTAGCTTGCTACTTAGCCGCTGCCCGTTTTTTCTCTGGCTTAGAATGCAACCCCTCTGTTGTAGTAGGAGAACAGCTTAAGGCCATGCTGACCGAAGGCATGCCCCCTCGAGCTAAGTACGAAGCGAGGATTGGCCATCAGTAAAATGGTCCTGTGGGAACAATGCTTCGTCCTCTCGAGGACGCGCGGGCAATGGTCTAACCGCTAAGGCATGCAAAACATGAGAGTACGCCCCCGGTCTACCGATCCCCGTCCGTCACGCTGCATTTCGCTACGATCCAATCCAAGGTTCCAAGAATATGTCTTATGACAGCGCAAGTTTGACCACTCCCGACATCAAGTGGCTGGGGGTACGCCCTTCCGACTTGGACAGGTGCGTATGTATGCATGCATGCCGTGCCGTACTACATGTATTGTATCCTCCCCAAATTCAAGAGCTTATGCGTCCAATTGTCGTGTTGTGTTTTTAGCTTGATGTTTGCCCAAAACGGGAAGAATAGTCGATTCACACCAATCCTTGTACCGCTGAATACATCATGAAAAACCGCCTGAGAAGGTGGATAGTTTTCACGAGATATCATCGCTTGTACCCTACCCAGACTAAAACCTATACTTCGAAGTACATTGCCTACATAGTGGTTTCCGGGGTGATCGAATGCGGAGCGGGATTTGCGCAACAACTGCGTGACTAAAGTGGTGGAGCGTTCTTCAGGGGGGAACGCAAACAGTACTTTGTTCTTATGAGGGGTCAGTGGGTTTGAGGTTCTTACGAGTGTCCAACCACAAAAAATAGTGTCATAATAGCTACGATACACAGGGCGTAGGACACCCATGATTGAGGCCTGTGTTTTCCAGCATAGGACCAAACTAAGTTAAGGCCGTTGAACCTTGGGCGCGAAAAGGTACAACATTCCGGAGCAGTGCCGGCTGGACATGACGGAGCATGACATCAAGACCGGAAAGGAGCTGCTACAGGTGAGCCCTGTCGTATTTCCTCAGTGTTTTTTGCATCTATCCGCGTTCGTGTGGTGGACTGTGGACTGTACCAGATTCAATTGGTTAGGTGTGTATGTGTGTGTATTAGCTTTTATTGTCATCGACCGCGTTAACCGGCTGGCCAATGAGAATGCGTCAGTTTTGTGGTGAGGGATGAATGATCCATGGTCCATTCGACCTCTATGGCAACTATCAAACGAGTATCCCAAATTTGTCCGGGGGAATAAATCCCCACGAAACACCTCTCTTCCGCAGCCCCGGGAGGGGTTCGGAGAGGAACCCTTTCGGTCGACGAGACAGTCCTTCTGACCTCTGTGTTCGTTTCTCTCGAACTACTGGGGCAGGAGGATTCCGTAGTTTTGTGAGGGGGGGGCGCAGTATTTTTCCCCCGGAACACCGCTCTTCCCCAGGACCAGGGACAGC